TGATTGATTTTGCGAGAGAGAGTTGATATCGTAGTTTAAGAATAAACCTTGAGGAGGAAATTCGGGTTTAAACATAGGGCACTCCGGTATGACGGTGTACTTCAGCTTCTGTCATTCATGAATAAATCTTCTTCAGTCTTTATTTAACCATTCCATACATACTCACAAGAAGAAGTAAATTCAAGAAACAAACCTCGTCGAATTTGTTATCATTCTTGAGGTGATTCATAATCAAAGATCCAATACCCGGTACTTCAGCCAGGTTCAGAAAGAACTTGAACCAGAAACCAGTCAAATGTGGAGCTTCAAAGAAAAATTTGCATTAATTTAATCGAAACAATACAAAATTGTAGTGTATATCACATAAAGATACACAGAATTGAAACCTTGAATATTCTCCGGTATGTACTTCACCGCCGTCAAGTCAACTTCACTCGCCGGTAGCATCACTCGCTTGATCCCCATTTTCTTGATACAATAACTCAATCTATCAATAATTCACCATAATCACGATCACAGAAATAAAGATACAGAAAATCATATAAAATATCTATTGAACTTTCCAAGAAAATTGACTTATCACACACAACTACAAGTTAATACTTTCAGCAAGAATTGAAGTCGTCACCGGCCGGCCGGCGAGTACTGGTTAATGATACGTGCGCAAGAAAGTGAACGCACGTTTAGAATTTACTTTAGTAACCCAATTGGTTCAAAAATACTTTTTGTTGAAAACTTCACATAGGGGCGCGGGATATATAGTCCGTCCCTCTATCCCATTTTATCTTATACCCTTTCCTTTTAATTTGTCTAGAATAAATATCACCTTGTAAGTCCTTCGAGTTGAATGAACCGGGATCAAACCCCTCAATGTTTTCTGAGTCAAGTCTGTCACATAGGATTTACCTAGTACGATTTATATCTTCACTAATGTAGAGGCTGTGACAGAAATTGTAGCGAATGCGGGTTATCCTGGATTCAAAAAAAATCACCTTATAATTTAATTTTAATTTTTTTTTTTGTTATACTCACATAAATATAAAAAAAAATCACCTTATAATTTAATTTTAATTTTCTTTTACTATACTCACATAAATATCAAAAAAATATTAATCATATTTAATCAAACAATATTATATATATATAAAATAAACAGAATGAATATATAATAGTAAGCTATCGATTTACCCAATAACAAGTGAAATGTCAATTTCAATTATGTTGATGGCTTCCTCAACAATATCGACAGTTTAAACGATCATTTTTTATGATATGGTTGTTGTTATTGTTTTTGACTTTTTGTATTCGTAGGAGGGACCATGACATTTTTGGGTTGGATTTGGCCCACTAACAATTTTGCTCTGGGTTGTTGTTAAATCATAAATGGGTGGTTGTTTTGAATTTTTCTTCTTATTTAATAAATGGAAAAGGGTCAAAAATATCCCTATACTATTCGAGAAGGTTTAAAAATATTCCTCATCCACCTATCGAGATAAAAATAGAGCAACTTTCACATATAGCAAATACAAAATTCATATTTGTATGCTATAGCAAAGTTTGCATAATTGCGCTCCATAGCAAACATATATATGTATAATTCACTATATATATACAAAAAAATAGTTGTACAATCTGCTTTGGTATACATATACAAAAAGATCAAATTGTATAAAAGTGAGAGAGGTGAGTGAGCGAGCGAGATCTGGGGAGAAGTGGCGAGCGAGATCTGGGGAGAGGGGGAGAGAGGGGGAACGAAAAATGTATGTATATATATAATTTTCTCCCGCTTTATACAAACACAAACGCATTTATACAATTTGCGTTTTTTGTATAAAGTGAGAGAGGCGAGTGAGAGAGCGAGATCTGAGAGAGTGGCGAGCGAGATCTGGGAGAAAGGAGAGAGGGGAACGAAAATATATGTATATATACAATTTTCTCTCGCTTTATACAAACACAAACGCACTTTATACACTTGCGTTTGTATAAAAAACGAGAGAGGCGAGGGAGAGAACGAGAGTGGCGAGCGAAATTCACCAGGAGAGAGGTGAAATAGCAACAGTTTGCTATGAGGTACAATTAAATCAAATTATATTTATAGCATTTAATTTGAATAAATAGTTTGCTATTATGTACAATTTTCACATAAAAATACCCCTCGGTCAATCTTTTTGGTTCACTATTACCCTTTAAACTAATAGCCTTATATTTTTAAATTATTATTATTAATTATTATGTAGCGTCTTTCTATTGGATAAAGTTTAATTTCAACCCACCAAACTTTCTCCTACCCTACCCGACCCATATTGACATCCCTTAACCCAAACTCAATTACAAGATCCATTGGAAATAAAAAAGATTGAACTATCTCTTCTCCCCTAAACCTAATATCCTATTTTTCTTCTTCCCCTTTTCTTATTAAGCCATTTCAAGATCAATTTCACCCAAAATAACCATAAGTTGTTGTAATTATAAGGCACGTAAACACTATGGTCCCTCTATAATCATAATTTATTTTCTTGAAAGGCTAATTACACCTATAACACCTCCTGCATTTTGGGAAAACACTTATGTATAGTGACATTGTTTTATATTGGTGTGACCATTAGTGCATAATTAACATGGATGAAATCGTCAAATAAAAGCTTCAGATATTCTGTCCAGAATATGCATTCAAATATTCAATTACTCAAGAGGAATCTGCAGGATTATGTTGGGGTAGATGAGATGCATTTAGCTTTTTTGAGTAACTAGTTATGTACAATTGATGTTGGATGATATTTTTTTGCTAGAAACTCGTTGTTTACAATGCCATTGTTAAATTCAAGGTTCATCATAATGTGGATAAAATAGATTATGTGTTTAAGGATAAAATAAATTGGGTGAAATTGATTTTGAAATCGCTTAATAAGAAAAGGGGAAGAAAAAAAATAGGATATTAGGTTTAGGGGAGAAGAGATGATTCAATCTTTTTTATTTTTAATGGATCTTGTAATTGGGTTTGGATCAAGGGATGTCAATATGGGTCGGGAGGGGTAGGAGAAAGTTTGGTGGGTTGGAATTAAACTTTATCCAATAAAAAGACGCCACGTAATAATTAATAATAATAATAATTAAAAAATATAAGGTTGTTAGTTTAAAGGGTAACAGTGGACCAAAAAGATTGACTGAGAGGTATTTTTAAACCTTTTCGAATAGTATAGGGATATTTTTGGCCCTTTTCCGTTTAATAAAAGCTTATCTTTTTGCATGCAAATCGAAATAAGATTTAAAATTAATCTTAGATGTAGGAGAGTTATTGGATGATCCATCTATTTGCAGGAAACTTGTTGGGACTCTATTCTATTCTACTTTCTACCTGACTAATTATTGTTCAGACATCGCTTACACTTACAACATAGGAGGGAGTGATCAGCCGATTTTTATATGGACAAGCCGAGATTATCTCACTTAGAAGTTGCTTTTCGGATTTTGCGATACACCAAAACCTCACCGGAAAGAGATTGATTCTTGTCTACGTCATTATCAACTGATTGATGGTCTATATCTTTTAGACTATAGTTAATGGATACTCTTAAATCATAATTGTAATTATATAAACTATGATTCTATACTAGAATTTTTTTAAATAATAAAATTTATAAAATAATAACCTTAATTTTTTTTCAAAAAGTCGATGGGTGGTGAAGCTTCTTTTAGGCGAAATTCTTCGGCATCATCTTAAAATTGGCACAACCTTTTACTTATACCCCTCAAGTAAGCATGTACATTTTGAATATTTAACCTACTAAAAAAAATATGTAAACACTCGTGATCAATTAAATTGGCTAACTTATTGAAATATCTCAAACCTTTATTTTATAGACAAAACTTTACATGCATAATTTATGTTCGATAGGGAATAAAAAAAATTGCTCGGTGAATATTCTTAAGCAAAGCTATTGTAAAAAAGAATTGCCAAATGAGATTAATAAATTTAAGACCTATCTCTTGTGGATACCATTCCTGTTTAAAATATACTCTATTGAGTTTTCAAATAATTATTTAAAGTTCATTTAGTTTTGACGTGCTAATTTTCCTCCTCGTTTAGAGTTTCACGTTTGAAATTAAGGAAGTATAATCTACAAGCTATTACAGTGGACCGAGATTTACTCAATACACATTCAAGTTGAGTTTCACATTTGAAATTCTATTATAATGGAACGGGATTTATTCTGTACGCATACTCAATACATTTTCTTATTAACAACAATCTATATATATACTGACATAAGGTACCTTACGCAATATTGACATTCAATTGAGTACTGAGTATTGACAACAACCAAGTTGGTTGCCAATTATTGCAGATTAAAGTCCACATTTATTTTGGAAAGTATTACTCCTTCCGCCCAAAAAACTGATTGCCATACTATTATTTATAGGAATATATGTATAGTCACATTCACATGTTCTATTAATTTTAGTAAATATGGTCATATGCGTTTTAAGTATTATATGAGTAGTCATTAATCAAAAGTATATAAAAATACGAATTTATATTTCTTTCGTTTCAATTTGTTTGACTAACATTTTTTTTTTGTTAATTTAAAAAGGAATGAACCTTTCCTTTTCTTAATGACTCTCTAATTTCAAAAATCTTCTTTATTTTCTTAAATTTCGTGTCAAGTTCTAATCAGTATTGCCAATAATTTTCCTTTGCTGGTATTTTTAGTACTTTCTTTAAGTTGTACAAACATATTGATTCTGTTTTTTTTTCCGCCCAACTGTTTAGAAATGTTTGATAGAACAAATTAATTTTACACTACTTTAGGCCAATAAAGCAGGTAAGAAATTAATGCACTTTCATTTGCGGTTGTAAAATTATGTTTGATTATAGGAACTTTATTTCAAAAAAAAAAAAAAAAAAACTTGCTATAATTTGATGTGTTCTCCTGTATGTTCTCTGTTTTTTTTTTTACACTTCAGAGTAATCTAATATAGCTTGACTATAGGGACGACTATTTAAGTATTAAAAGATACGAACTTTGACAGCTTTTTATTGATCATTAATCTCATTTTCACATGACTCATTCAGGGACCCCAGTTTAGACAGATGAGGTAAACTTCACGGCAACAAAAGCTATAATTCAAGATTACAGAAGATGAACCACTTCTACAGTTTTATGCCTTCTGAGAAGCGCCACCAATGCATAAGCTTCACATCAGGTTCCCTTTCAAAATATCATAAAACTGCACCGGCATCTTCTTAGGCCCAGCACAAGTTTCCTGAGAAAAGTAACATTTCGACTGTTACTAGGGGTGTCAAATATGTGAGTTTAATTGAATTTGGACATATCAAAATAGACTGAATTAATAAATGTGGGGAGTAAGATTACTTGGGCTGAAATGAGTTGAGTCAAAATGAGCAGGTCAAGATGGGTTAATCAATGGACAGGTCATGTTTTCATGTGCTAATTTTGGCACCCTAACTGTACGTTACTAGTCCAAAGTAAGGGGTCTATGTCCAAGTGGCGTTGAGATCAATATGGTGTGTTTTCTTTTTCAAGAAAATGGCCAGTGACTCATTTGTTGAAAGGGAAACCATACCTCTATGGCAGCTGCCAAGCGCAAAATGGATGCTTCACACCATGGACGCCCAATGAGCTGCATGCCTATGGGAAGTCCTTGCTTGTCATAGCCAACCTGACATACACCATTCCAACAAAAATTTAAAACAGTAGAGATATTATTGGTAGCGCCATAATTATAGTTTGCACATGGTGAATGAAGTCAATATAAATTAATCTGCTTAGCTATAATTAGGCCAAGTCCATTGGTCAAGAATATATAACCACAACACTTTTAACGATTGTGTTTTTATAGTTAAGACTTAAAGAGTTTAGAAAATGTTAACATAGGATCCTTTTGTAATGCAATTTTATATCCCGCTCAGACTTTCCAGCCAGGACATGGGCTTAAACGAAACTAGACAATTTTTTGTGCAGTTCAGTATTAACAACTTTTCCAGCGAACAAAAGCCTTAAATTAACTAATGTAGATGTTTAACAAGAGATAAGAGCAGATACTGCAGTAATCTTTCAACATAGAGGGTATCTGGAGTTCTGGACCACGTATAAAATTTAGTTTGCCTCAGACATTGAGCTTTTCAATATTCCAGCAAGTTATTTTTACTCAATCTGCAGTTAGTCTAGATTCCCAAGTACATAGGATAAAGATGCTATGCTTACAGGGACAGAAATTGCAGGAAAGCCCAGAAGATTTCCTGCTAATACGAACCGCATAAGACTTCCTGGAAGAGAGAGTGTGAGAACAAAAAACAACATGAGATTGTAAAGTAGTACCTATCCAAAATAAGAAAGAAGGATAATGCATAAGAATTTGCAGATAACTAATAGTTTAAAAAATTCACATAGGTGCTATGCTACAGTTAAGATTTAAGAATATCTAAATAGAGGATCATCCTTCTTAAATCAGTATGTGCAACAAGGGGGGAAAATACTTCATCTGTAAGAGCATCCCATTTCCAACCAAAATGTTTGGAGTTCGAATAACCAAGGGAAAAGTGGGATAAATTACTGTTGTCTCGGGAGGGGGGGAAGGTTTGGGGGTCTGGGGTTTACCAAGTTGAAGAGAGAGAAAAAATTGTGTGTGGAACTACTCTATAGTGCTCATATGATCAATCTTTTCATACTCAGTTAGCTATCAAGCAGTTGACAGCATCACCCAAACAGATAAACCAGTGTATCATAATTCATAACGACATACCTGAAACCCGCAAATTGGTCTCTCCAACTGTAAGAGCAGCTGGTGATATTATGGGCGCCGTCATGCTGAAATATTGGGAAACAATTGTCAGCTAAAGATGGTTTCACAGATAGTCATATTTCAACAGCAGAAAATAACGAACAAACCTGCTGTTTTTCACATATATGTATATTTTTCAAAGACATTAACTTTTATGAGTATACACAGCATTTTAAAGGTTTGATATCTAGATTTGACATCATCAAAGGAATCAATCTTCAACTATCACCTTCTTGTTGTTCCAGTTAAAGAAAAATCTTATTCATGCTTCATCACTGACCAAATTCAATAATTTAATAGGAATAGTGAGGGAAATAATGCTATTCACAAGCGTCTATCCAATGAAAAACAGAAAAAAAAGGAAAGAAGAACATCAGAGAAACTAAAGGAAGCATCTGCAGATTAGGTGCATGCACATAAAGAGATATGTGTAATATTTTTACAAGACGGTCATTCAAATGAATAATAAGGTGTTTTTACCAAGAAAGTGATAACAAAATTTATCCACTAAGCCCAAATATAGGAATGTGGTTACATACGCAGTAGTAGGTGTCACAATGATATCCACCTTCTTGAAAATCTCCACGTAGAAATGCATTAACCTTCGCCTGAAATATTAAGAGAAATTATCATGTATTGTACTTAAAAACTTTACATGTTGCCTATATCAGAAGAGAATGCACTTCTAGCCTAATTGATAACTGAATTAAATACCAAGAATTATTGAAATGCATGCTTTCATTAGTATAAGACACAAGAGGATAAACAAGATTAGAGAGAACAACAGAGCAGCTAAAAATCATAGAGCATAAAAGCTACAGGCTTTCTCTTTCTTATTTTCATCCTACCTACGTTCTTTGAAAAGAAATAAAACCTATCTAGATGATTTTAACACATAGTATTAAGCCCAAGATTGATCATGAAAAAAATTAGGAAGACTAATAGTCACTTTCTTACATAAAGGAGATTATGATATTTCTTGAGCAAATTTATGAGTAGCAACGTAACTAATGGATCCAAAATAAAATATACCAAAAAGATTTAATATCATTCTCATCAGATACAAGCAGGCAATGGTAATGAGAATCTCGTGCCATTGACAAGATTTTTCTGTCTTTTTATGCAACCGTTGCCCGAAAGTACAGAAAACCACTGTCTTAGACTTTCAAAACAAGTAACAAATGATCAAGCTATGCACATCTCTGTTCAAATATCTTTTTAAATGCCAATAAATTTGCAGTGCAGATCAAATTCAGAATTTGATAACTTATGCCCCACCTAAGACACTGAGCAGCAACATAATCCGACGCTGAATATGTTTGAAAAAGGGCCAGATTTATCCTACTGTCATATGTTAATCTTGCTAATTTCCTGAAATCAGGTGAACATATCATTATATAAAGGGAAAGCTGCAAGGTATTCATCAAGAAGAATATGAATAATGCCATCATGTCATGTACTATCCCAGACAAGCCAGATCAAGCACATGAAAGACCTGCTCAGTAAGGTAAACATACCCATCCTCAAGGTCAGGATTCAGCTGAGATAATGCTTCAGAGCCAATCGAAACAACATGTGCAATGAACATCTCATGCAACTCTGGTATTACAATCTCTAACGTCTTCAATTAAGGGAAGAAAGACAAAACCCTTTTAGAAATAGGAAAGAGCTAGATAGAAAGAAAATAGTTAGTCACAAAATTGATGCTCACAAGACTCCTGAACTCTATGAGAGCAGATGGAAGATGAACAGGGACAATTCCTTGACATAACCAAAGAATTGGATATGGGAAATAAACTTACTTTACACCCATGTTTTTCTGATAGCTGGTTTAGAATATCCTCACACTTATCAGATATTTCAGTTGAGAAAACATCATTGAACCACTGAAGGAGGAAGTCAAGAGATAATTTAATTGTTACAAGAAAGTTACATTTCAGACACTTCTCTACCAGAAAAGCAATTACCTCAGTATACTTCCCCAAGCGCAGTGATCCAGTAGAGCACCAGCTCCCACATGAACTTAAATTTGGTAAACAAGGGAGGGGCTGAAACATAGTAACGGATTTCAATGGAATTAGGCACATGCACAACTCAGCTTTGAAACTCACAAGTTGAAAATTACCTTCACAAAATGAAACATAACTCCAGAATAATCTGAATAAGAAGTACAATGCTCCCTAGTTCATCTAAACTACAAAAAGTCATTAGAATCAACCTCTTACTTTGTACTCTCAAGAGCTGATGTTTAGGTCCTACTACATTAGCTAGAAGTTACTTTCTTCAGTATTGTAATTCACGTAACCTGGCTATTGCAGGAGTTGCACAGCTTCAGGATTTCTATCTCCAGAATTTATCCAGAGGCCAGAAAAAGACTGAAACTACCACTCGAGAAGCCTTTCTCTCCAAGGTTTACATACTACAAGGGTTCCCAACACTAAGAAGTTGTATAACAACTCTTCTTTTTAGATTTCTTGTGGGTTTTTACGATACTAGAGAAATTAGAGCAGATGGTCAATCAATTTATATTCTGTGACATTTTAATGAAATAGAGGAAATTAAAAAACAAATGAAGCATCATACAATATAGATTGTAATGATGAGCATGCAATATTCTTGGGTAATTACCGGTTTCAATGAAACTCTCTCAGCAGGAGAAGATCCTAAAATTGCAGCATACCTGATAGTAAGATATCACGACTTAGCTTTCTGGAAATGTTTATCTAAGCTCATATAAGGCAAAAAGTAGAAAAATCCTGATTAGTTTGAGATTAAGGAGTAGTTGATTGATAGATTGATTAACTTGCATAGTTGGAGGAAGGAATCTTGTATGTTTACTACTTTCATCTCTCAAAGCATAAATAGAGTAGGAAACACACTCTGTCCCATCCCCAAGATAAAGGGAGGTAAGCCCTCTAAGATTCTTTAATCGAGTAGATTTAAGCAAAATAAAGCAGAACTGGATACGCACAAATACTGTGAGAAACACAATCAAACCTTCTGCTGATAGTAGCACTTCACAGGCATATAATATGAATTCAAGTACTAGGATGAGTTGTAATCACAAACTACATAACTGCACATTCTTCCCCAGTGATGAGGCCAATTTGCATTGTCACATCACCATTTATAGAACTATAAGAACTGGACTTCGAAAACAAGTACACTTTGGAACATTCAAAACCGTTAACTACTTACACCAAAATGGCATCCTCAACAGTTGCTGTGATAGGTCCAACAATTGCCACTGTTCCACTATGATATAGCAACCTGAAAAAAAAAACTGATGAGACTAAAGATTTACCTATTTAAGACTTACAAAGCTAGTGCGAAAATAATGAAGTATGTATAGTAGATTCACAATTTAGTTGACAAAAAAGCAACATTTTTGCACATATAATTGCTAAAAAAAATAAAATATTTATTTTGCCATAGAAGGAACTTCAAGAAAAAATCTTTTATTTACAATAATCGTGTTGGGGCTAGCTTGCACGCACATCAATGACTTCATCAGGTACCTGTACCTCCCACCAACACTAGTACCGGATAACTCTACCCCCACCATGGTTTAAGCAGACCAGAATGCAGACATATAAATTCAGAACTCCTCCGCAGTAGGAGCTCACCCTTTCATGTCAGTCCTTCCATATGTTGTCTTCAAGCCCACCACACCACAAAGGGAAGAAGGAATCCGAACTGAACCTGTAAAAATAAACTTTAGCAAACATGACATAAAAATATTTCATAAGATGACTCACGAGCTACATGGTATCATAGACAACCTCCTCCATCTGTTCCCAGTGCAGCAGAACACAATCCAGAAGCTACAATAGCTGCAGAGCCTGAGGAAGAGCCGCCTGTGTACCTATCTGGAGCATGTGGATTCGTGGTTGTCCTGTCATATAAAGAAATCCTCTCACCCATACTGTTGTTTTGTAGTGTAAACATTTCCTAAATGGAGTTTTAAGTTAAATTGTTAGAATTGTCAGAGTCCATGTACATAGCAATAATTAAGTCCACAATTCAAAAGGAAACATTACTATGAAATCTTTAAGGTTTCTCTTCATGGAAATTTTTTCCCCAGGTTTGCTACTTCATTTAATATTTTTGGCCCAATGTGTGACTTAATTAAATGTTTAGTGAGCTTTAGCATCATGACTTACTTACTATGAAACTGCGGGCATTTCTTACCTATTGTGTACAGCTTGTAAGATAAACTCACCCAAAATTCGCATTATTTCCAGTTGTTCCGAGGGCCAATTCATGCATATTCGTCTTTCCAACCAAAACTGCACCGCAGCATCGTAATCTTGAGACGCAGACAGCATCCTTCTTCACCTCACGAAGCTCGTGAAACCAAGTTGTTCCACCTGTTAGTCATTAAGTATGCAACTAAATCTGGCAAAGAACTATGCTTTGGTGACTAGAACTAGAGTACATACCCTTTGATGGATATGGATAGCAATCAATGTCATCCTTAACTGCTATAAAGATACCATCCAGGATTGATAATTCACTTCCTGCACAAACTCAATGGCTAAGAAATAGTAGCTAAGTAGAGTCAAATGCAGATAGCACTCTAGCAGGCATGAATATTTTTGAATTACAATGGAACAACAGCATACATGTCTCTGCATAAGACCATAAGAAAATATACCCCAGAGTACCTTCTTTAAATCTTTGCGTGGAAGCATCAGCTTGCCTTCTGACTTCATCAGGATCATAAGAAATCAATAGTGGTGCCAGTGGATTCTTGTTGTTAGACTCTTCTATAGCTGAGATGAAGTGCTCTGCTACCTATGACACAATTGTAAAATAAGCTTATCCTAATACATTTATACGGACAGCATGAAAATTGGGAAAACAATGGCTTGCCTGAGATGGAGTTGTAAGCTTAGATTTGTAAGCATATGCGTAATCACGAATCTTCCAATAGCGAAATGGTGCAGTTGGATCAGAAATCCAAATACAGCCTGGATTGTAATCTGGAAGACACTGCAAGGCTAACTCAACGCGTTCTTCAGGTTTCCCATCTTCTTCCAAGCAAAAAACATCAGGTTCTGACTCTAAATCCACATGCCATACAAAGTCAGTTAGTGACTCCAAGTGGCATTGGTTTTATCATAAAATAATCTTGTTATCTCCTTTATTACTCCAGAAATAAACGCCTACCACCGGATATGCTCAACCCACTTCACCTCCACCCCTCTTCCAAATAGAGGTCTTTTATAAGGAAAGAGAAAAAAGGTTGAAACAAAAAAAAGCCTATCTTTTCTTCTTCTTTTTTTTTTGATAAGGAATAGGACAAAAGATAAGCCTATTTAAACAAGCATGTTGACCAAGTCAAGCAGTTCCTTTTCATTATGATGGTCTACTCGTAAACCAAGGATAGCTGAGCGGGAAAAAAATCACACTTTTGAGAAGACGGACAGGAGTGTAGACAACGTAGAGAGAGAAAGCTTCAAGATAAATACTGAAGAAAGAGTGATATCGAAACTAACCTTTAGGAGGAAATTCAGGTATAAACATGGGAGCCTCCGGTATCACAGTATTCTTCAATATCTATCAATCATGAACACTTAACCTTTTCAGTTATCATAGAATATGACATCCCCTTGACATGAATATTTACAACATAAAAACAAATAGAAATTGGACACATTAAGAATCAAACCTCGGTTATTCGGTTCTTGTTCTTCAAGAGAATCAAGATCATTGAACCAATAATTGGTGCTTCAATCAACATGACAAATAACTTCAACCAAAATCCAGTCAGATGTGGAGCTGCATGTCCATAGGTGCAAATTCACAACTGAATAACTCGAAATAACAATACAGAGATTTATAACAACTATTCCCTACCATATGTCTCAAAATGAACTTTGACAAACATTTTAAGATGTACCAATATTCCACCATTTTGATATGAAAATTCCAACTTTATGATACTTTTTTTTTGTGTATTTCCGAATATCTAACTCTTGATTTATTTATGTTTTAACAAACGTATACTAATCTAATACTTGCAATTTAGCTTTTAAAGTCATAAAAAAGGGGAAAAAATAGCAAACAAACTATGAATGACAGAGGGAAGAAGACCTTGAACTCTTTGAGGCTTATACTTAGCGGCCGTCATGTCAACTTCAGTCGCCGGCAACTTCACTAACTTTTTCCCCATTTCTAACAAACAACCGATTCAAACTATTAAAATCGTCGACAATTGATTAATTACTAGTGAAAGAGATGCAGAATTATACTCCAGAACATAGTTGCTTTATAGAGATCCGATTATCGGCAAGCGGTGAAGCCAGCTGTCAACATACTGAAATTGAGTAAGGCATTTGAAAGTCTGAGTATGATGCACCACAAATGACAAAAAAAATGCTTTTTTTTTAATTTCTCTGGAGCAAAGCTTGTTGGGGAGTGGGGAGTTATGGAGAATCGAATTAATTCGTGAAGATACCGCGCCGATTGTGTCATGTTCCCGCCGACAACCGTATTGCGTCGTCTTAAAAGGTCCAGTCTCCCGCCCGATTCCATGTGGCAGTTACTGAGAAAAAAATATTTTTGTTAACAAATTAAGTGTTTAACAAATAGAGGCACAAACAGTTTTTCTGCTATTGAAAAGAAGCTAAAAAAAAAAAATTAATAAAAAAAGCAGAAGCAGAAGCAGAAATAAAATATTATTTTTTCGCAAGACTAAAATATCTTTTTCGTATGTACATATTTAGAAGTACATTAATAGTTGTCTTTTTTTTGTAATTTGACTCTTAAAATCTCTTTTTGAAAAAGATTAATCAAACGCAATTTATTTGTAAAAAACACTTTTCAAATAAACTAGTCAAACACAAATTGTGTTTTATTTAAAAAGCACTTTTCTAAAAAGTCATTTTTTAAAAGTCCTAAAAATAACTTGTTTTTAGTAGTAATGTCAAACAAGTTCTAAGTGCATTTGAATTAACTTATTTTTAAGTATACTATTATTGAGAGTCGTGATTTTAATACGGGATTACGATTATTTGGTGTATTTTCATGTACGTTCTCTTTATCTTTCTTTCTTCCAAAGTTGATCTAATATAGCTTGACTATAAGACGACTATTTAAGTATTAAGGGTCAATTTGGTAGGACGTATTAGAGAAAATAATATTATTGATAGTAATTTTAATATTATTCTATCTCTTGTTTGGTAGTATTTTCAACTTATGAATAACTAATATTTGTATTAATTATACATCATATTTAGTAGTACTATTCTTATACATAAGAAACAATGACATTAGTGATATGAGGTTTATTAATATATGGATTATCATGGTTAAACATAGAGCTGCTCTCGAAGTCTATGGATAATTATGCAATGCCGATATTTTTAGTACACTAAACCAAAAAGTGAATACGAAAGAATCTCAACATAACTAATATTAATGTAATTAATCATAGCATTACTGATACACCATTTTATTACTACTATTTTTATACACCCTACCAAACCACCCAAGGAAATACAAACTTAGACAACTTTTTATTGAACAAGGAAAGGTATAATTCAAGATTACAGTTTTAATAAGCATTCTCAAACCACCAACGTCTGAGTCTGAGAAGCTCCACCATTGTGTATAAGCTCAAAGCGACATCAGGTTCCCTTTCAAAATATCATAAAACTGCACCGGCTTCTTCTTAGGCCCAGCACAAGTTTCCTGAGAAAAGCAACAAATCGACTATTACTAGGGGTATCAAATAAGTGAGTTGGATTGAATTTGAGCGGGTCAAAATAGACTCAATTATTAAAAGCAAGTTAATAAATAGACAGGTCATTAACTCGGAATGTGTTGGAAGGGTCAGATTTTCATGTGATAATTTTGGCATTTCTAACCAAAGTAATTAGGTGTCTTCTTTTTCAAGAAAATGGCAAGTGACTCATTTGTTGGAAGGGTAACCATACCTCTATGGCAGCTGCCAAGAGCAAAATGGATGATTCGCACCATGGACGACCAATGAGCTGCATTCCTATGGGAAGTCCTTGCTTGTCATAACCAACCTGATATACAACATTCCAACAAAATTTTAAAACAGATGGAGATATTATTGGGTACCGTCATAATTAGTATTAACAATTGTGTTTTTATAGTTGATAGTTTTGAAAATGTTACAGAGGAACCTTTTGTAATGCAATTTTATTTCCCGTTCAAACTTTCCAGGGCATAGGCTTCAACTAAACTAGACAATTTTTTGTGCAGTTCAGCATTAACAACTTTTCCAGGGAACAAGGGCTTTAAATTAACTGATGTAGACATTTAAAAAGAGATGAGAGCAGATAATGCAGTAATCTTTTAACATACAGGGTATCTAGACCGTGTATAAAATTTAGTTTGCCTCCAACGTTGATATTTTCAATATTCCGGCAAGTTATTTTTACTCAATCTGCAGTTAGTCTAGATTCCCAAGTACATAGGATAAAGATGCTATGCTTACAGGGACAGAAATTGCAGGAAAGCCCAGAAGATTTCCTGCTAATACGAACCGCATAAGATTTTCTGCGTGTGAGGACAAAAACTAATATAAGATTGTAAACAGTAAAGTAGTACCTATCCAAAATAAAATAATAAAGTAGTTCATTAAAAAAAAAAGGAGGATAATGCATAAGTAGTTTGCAGCTAACTATAGTTTTAAAAATTCACACTGGTACCAGTTGCCACACAGTAAAGAATATTTTTAAAAAGAAGACCATCCTTCTTAAATCAGTATGTGCAAGAAGTTACTCCAGTTGTAAGAGCATCTCATTTCCAACCAAAATTTTTGGAGTTCGAATAACCAAGGGAAAAGTGGAGGAATCACTGTTGTCCCGGGGAGGGAGGGAAGGTTTGGGAGTCTATAACAAACGCAATAACGACCAACTGATCACTATATTAATTACTGAACTAGATTACAACAACTACTGATTACATAAAAACTGCAAGGAAATGAGAAGAAACAGAGAAGAGATGAGAAGAGAATTACAGAAGAAAATAGAGATGAGAAATAGAGATCCAACGAAACACCATAGCCTCCTTTTTCTACGCATAGAGATAATAGATTTATAACAGATACTTCCTACTCCACTTGCCGTATATTTAGCGCACACTTTGCCCCACGTTCTGTTAGACAAAGTCAACAAATCTTTTAGATGGTATTTTCACACGGTTACTCCTTCTAGGCTGAATAAAATTATCTTCCGATTTAGCCCTGCTGTCCTCCACGTCATCACTATGGTTCATAACAGAGTCTGGGGTATACCAAGTCGAAGACAAAAGACAGTGTGCACAATCACTCTATAGCGCTCATATGATCAATCTTTTCAGATTCAGTTAGACATCAAGCAGATAACAGCATCTCCCAAACACATGAAGTATATCATAACGACATACCTGTAATGGGCATATTGGTCTCTCCAACTGTAAGAGCAGTTGGTGATATTATGGGCGCCGTCATGCTGAAGAATTGGGAAAACAATTGTTAGCTAAAGATGGTTTCACAGATATTCATATTCCAGCAGAAGAAAATAATGAACAAACCTGTTGATTTTCACATATATGTATACTTTTCAAAGATATTAACTTTGATGAGTATACACACAACATTTTAAAGGTTAGATATCTAGATTTAACATCATCAAAGTAATCAATCTCCAACTATCATCTTCTTGTTGCTCCAGTTAAAGAAAAATCTTATTCATGCTTCAATCTTCATCACTGACCAAATTCAATAATTTAATTGGAATCGTGAGGGAAGTAATGCTATTCACTAGCATTACAGATTAGGTGGATGCACATGAAGAGATGCGTAAAACATTTTATAGATGGTCATTCAAGTGAATAATAAAGTGTTCTTTACCAAGAAAGCGATAACAAACTTCGTGCACTATCACCAAAAGATAAGAATGTGGTTAGTACATACGCAGTAGTAGGTGTCACAATGATATCCACCTTCTTGAAAATCTCCATGTGGTAATACATTAACCTTTGCCTGAAAGAATTAGAGAGATTATATCTAATAACTTATTGTTAGTTGAATAAAATGCCAAGAATGATTGGAATGCATACTTTCATTAGTATATGATACAAGAGAGAATAAACAAGATTAGAGAGAACAACACAGCGACCAAAATCTTAGAGCATAAAGCTACTGCCTTTTTTTTTAATCCTACCTACATTCTTATGAAAAGAAATGAAACCTATCTAGATGATTGTTAACACATAGTATTAAGCCCAACACCGATCATGAAAAAGAAAAATAGGAAGACTAATAGTCACTTTCTTACGTAAAAGAGATTGTGATTTTTCTTGAGCAAATCTATGAGTAGTAACCTAACCTATGGATCCAAAAAAGGTAATACCCAAAAGATCTACCTTCATTCTCACTGGATACAAGCGGGCAATGGTGATGAGAATCTTGTGTCATTGACAAGATTTTTCTCTTTATTTATGCAACCAGAAACAACCTCTACCCTACAAAAGGTAGGGTAAGGCCTGCATACATCTTACTCTCCCTAGACCTCACTTGTGGAATCACACCGGGTAAGTTCTTGTTGTATTTATGCAGCCATTACCCAAAAGAACAGAAACATTGTCAGAGACTTCCAAAGCAAGTAACAAATGATCAAGCTATGCACATCTCAGTTCAAATAAATCTTTAGATGCCACTAAATTTGCAGTGCATATCAAATTCAGAATTTGCTAAATCATCCCCCACCTTAGACACTGAGCAACAACATAATCCGACGCTGTAAATGATCGAAATAGTGCCAGATTTATCCGAGCGTCATTTGTTAATCTCGCTGATTTCCTGGAAATCAGGTCAAGAACAGATTATTATATAAATGCAGAGCTGCAATGTATTCATCAAGAAGAACATGAATAATGCCATCATGTCATGTACTGCCACAGACAAGCCAGCTCAAGCACATGAAAGACCTGCTCAGTAAGGTAGACATACCCATCTTCAACGTAAGGATTCAGCTGAGATAGTACTTCAGAGCCAATAGAAACAATATGTGCATTGTGCATCTCATGCAACTCTGGTATTACAATCTCTATCGTCTTCAATTAAGGGAAAGACAACAATTTAAGATAAAACAGAAATGGGAAAATGATAGATACAAAGAAAATAGATAGTCACAAAATTGAGGCTCATAAGACCCCCTTAACTCTAAGCAAGCAAGATTGAAGATGATTACTTGACAGAATCAAAGAATTGGATATGGGAAATAAACTCACTTTACACCCATGTTTTTCTGATAGCTGATTAAGAACATCCTCACACTTCTCAGATATTTCAGTTGAAGAAACATCATTGAACCACTGCAGAAGGAAGTCAAGAAACAATATAACTGTTACAAGAAATTTACATTTCAGACACTTCTCCACAAGAAAGCAATTACCTCAGTATACTTCCCAAAGCACAGTGATCCCAGAGAGCACCAGCTCTCACTTGAACTTAAATTTGGTAAACAAGGGAGGCCCTGAAACATTGTAAGAAACACTAAAGGACTTTAATGGAATAAATACATGCACAACTCAGCTCTGAAATTCATAGGGTGAAATTACTTCTTAAATATGAAACACAGCCCAGAATAATCCAAATAAGAAGTATAATGCTCCCTAGATCATCTATACAAGAAAAAGGTGTTAGAAAGCCACCTCTTTCTTTGTACTCTCGAGGACTGATGTTTAGGTCCTACTACAACAGCCAGAAGTTACTTTCTTCAATATCCTAGTTCACATAAGCCCGGTATTTCAGGAGTTGATAGATTCAGGATTTCTGTCTGCAGAATTTATCCAGAGGCGAGAAAAAGACTGGCAGTACCACTGGAGAAGCCTTTCTCTCCACGGTAGAATCAAAGGGTTCCCAACACTAAGAAGTTGTATATCAACTCTTTCCTCAGATTTCCTCTGGGGTTTTAAGATATGGGACAAACTAGGGTAGATGGTCGATCAATGCCTTTGGAGGAACATGCTTAGAAAACTCTATAAAATCACTTTGTATTCTATGACATTTTAACGAAAAAGAGGAAATGAAAAAAATTTAAATAAAAAGACACATCATACTATCTAAGATTATAATGATTAGCATGCAATTTCTGAGGTAATTACCGGTTTCAAAGAAACTCTCTCAGCAGGAGAAGATCCTAAAATTGCAGCATACCTGATAGTAAGATATCACGACTTAGCTTTCTGAAATGTTTATCTTAAGCTCATTGAAGGCAAAAAGTAGAGAAGTCCTGGTTAGCTAGAGTTTAAGGAGTAGTTGATTGATAGAATGATTAACTCACATAGTGGGAGGACGGAGTCTTGTATATTTACTACTTTCATCTCTCAAAGAATAAATAGAGCAGGGAACACACTTTCTCCCATCCCCAAGATAAAGGGGGAAAACCCTCTAAAAAAATTTATGAGGGTAGATTTAAGCAAAATAAAGCAGAACCGGATATGCAGAAATAATGAGAGAAACGCAATCAAACCTTCTGCTGATAGTAGCACTTCACATGCATATTATATGAATTCAAGTACTAGGGCAAGTTATTTTCACAAGCTACATAACGGCACATTCTTCCACAGTGGTGATGGTCAAGCCGTGTTGCATTATCGCAGCACCATTTATAGAACTATAAGCACTGGACATTAAAAAACCATTTACTACTTACATCAGTATGGCATCCTCAACAGTTGCTGTGAGAGGTCCAACAATTGCCACTGTTCCATAATGAAATATCAACCTGGCAAAAACAAAGAACGCGTGAAAATAACAAAGTATGTGCATAGAAAATTTACAATTAAGTTAACAAAAGGTAACATATTTGCACATATAATTGATACAATTAGGCAAAAAATAGAATATTCATTTTGACATAGAAGGACCTTCAAGAAAAAACCTTTTATTTACAATAATCGTGTTGAGGAGGAGGATGATTAGACTGGACATGGCACAGTTTCAGCTTAGCGATGACATGACCTTAGATAAGAGGGTGTGGAGGACACAAATTAGGGTAGAAGCTTAGTAGGGAGCAGTTTCTTGTCTTGCTCACTAGGTACATATACCTCCCACTAGCACAAGTACCGGATAACTCTACCTACCAAGGTTTAGATAGATCAGAAAGGAGGCGCATAAATTCAAAACTCTTCTGCAATAGGAGCTCACCCTTTCATGTCAGTCCTTCCATATGTTGTCTTCAAGCCCACCACACCACAAAGGGAAGAAGGAATCCGAACTGAACCTGTAAAGCATAAACTTTAGCAAACATGACATACAAAGATTTCATAAGATGATTCAGAGTTACATGGTATCATCGACAACCTCCTCCATCTGTTCCCAGTGCAGCAGAACACAGTCCAGAAGCTACAATAGCTGCAGAGCCTGAGGAAGAGCCGCCTGTGTACCTATCTGGAGCATGTGGATTCCTGGTTGTCCTGTTAATTAAGCAAATCCACCACCCATACTGCCGTTTATAATGAAAAAACATCTCCTAAACAGAGTGGAATGTTAAATTGCTATATATAATTGTCAGAATTCAGGTACATAACAATAATTAAATCCACAATTCAAAAGGAAACAGTTCTGAGAAATCTTTAAAAAATTGGCAGAGTTCACGTACATAGCAATAATTAAGTCCACAATTCAAAAGGAAACAGTACTATGAAATCTTTAAAGTTTCTCTTCGTGGCAAATTTATTCCCCAGGTTTTCTACTTCATTTAATATTTGACCAAATGTGTGACTTAAATAAATGTTAAGTGAACTTTAGCATCATGACTTACATACAGTGAAACAACGAGAATTTCTTGTCTATTGTGTACAACTTGTAAGCTAAACTCACCCAAAATTCGTATTATTTCCAGTTATTCCAAGGCCCAATTCATGCATATTTGTCTTTCCAACCAAAACTGCCCCACAATTTCGTAATCTTGAGATGCAGACAGCATCCTTCTTCACTTCATGAATCTCGTGAAACCAAGTTGTTCCACCTGTTAGCAGAGGCGAAGTCAGAATTTGAAGCTTATAGGTTCTAGAATTTTTAATCTTCTTAAATTACTGAGTTCTAAATTAATAATTTGTGCATATTCAATAAAAAAAAATTAAGACAAATACAGAGTTTGAACCAAAGCTACTGGGTTCGACCAAACCCATAGCCAACACTCTGCCCTCCGCCCTTGTCTGTTAGTCATTAAGTATGTAACTAAATCTAGCAAAGGACTATGCTTTGGCAACTAGAGCTAGAGTACATACCCTTTGATGGATATGGATAGCAATCAATGTCATCCTTAACTGCTATGAAGATACCATCAAGGATTGATAATTCACTTCCTGCACAAACCTAACCACTAAGAAATAGTAGCTGAGTAAAGTAACAAATGCAGATAGCAGGCCTGACATGTTTTTGTAATACAATGGCACAATAGCATACATGTCTGTATATGACCATAAAAAAGTTTACACCCGTGTACCTTCTTCAAATCTTTGTGTGGAAGCAGCGGCTTGCCTTCTGACTTCATCAGGATCATAAGAAATTAGTAGCGGCGCCAGTGGATTCTGGTTGTTAGACTCTTCTATAGCTGAGATGAAGCTCTCTGCTACCTAAGACACAAATGTAAAAATTAGCTTATCCTAATGATACATTTATATGAACATCATGAAAACAGGGAAAACAATGACTTGCCTGAGATGGAGCTGTAAGCTTAGATCTGTAAGCATATGCATAATCACGAATCTTCCAATAGCGGAATGGTGCAGCTGGATCAGTAATCCAAATACAGCCTGGATTGTAATCTGGAAGACACTGCAAGGCTAACTCAACACGTTCTTCAGGTTTCCCATCTTCTTCCAAGCCAAAAACACTAGGTTCTGACTCTAAATTCACATGCCATACAAAGTCGGTTAGTGACTCCAAGTGGCATTGGTTTTTGAAGTGATTTAGGTCACCATGGATGACCTCAATAGAAGAAAGATAGAGCATAGAGAGAAGAAGGAACAATATGGTATATTGGTGTATGAATTATTGAATATTACATGAGGCCGTTAGCCTATTTTTATAGATGATCTAGAGATGAGATTACCTCACTTAAAAACTAGCTTAACAAACTTAACTAACCGAAAAAATGGTCAAGGAGACACCTTTCTATATTTAGAAACAATTTAACTTTATAATGCACCTTTTGACCTTATAGCCACACAAATGGTCAAAGAGTGTTTTCGACCACAAATTTCAGAAGTACGGTATCACATAAATTGAGACGGAGGAGAATTACATAAGGCTGTTAGCCAATTTATATAGATGATCTTGACATGAGATTAGCTCACTTAATAACTAGAATAACAAACTGATCTAACTGACTATAACTAATTACTGGAAAGATATAAATAGATTAAACTATGCAGTGCTAACTGCTTCTTTAACAGCTTTATCATAAGAAGTTTCTTAACTTTCGTCCCTGTTGTATGCATTTGCCTGTCATCTCCTTTATTCCTCCAGAAATAAACGCCTACCACTCACATATTGTCAAACCCACCTCCGCTTCACCCCTCTTCCAAATAGAGGTCTTTTAAAATGAAAGAGAGAAAAGGTTGAAACAAAAGTAAAGTAAGCCTATCCTTTTTTCCTTTTTCTTTTTTTTGGCTATTGGTATAGAACAAAAGATAAGCCTATTTAAACAAGCAGTTCCTTTTCATTATAATGGTCTATCAGTAAACCAAGGATAGCTGAGCTTGCAAAAAATCAAGATAAATACTGAAGAAAGAATGATATCGCAACAAACCTTGAGGAGGAAATTCAGGTACAAACATGGGAGCCTCTGGTATCACGGTATTCTTGAACCTCTACCAATCATGAACATTTGACCTTTTAGTTATCATAGAATATACAACATAAAGAACAACAGAGACTGGATGCATTAAGAATCAGACCTCGGCTCCTCGGTTCATTTTCTGCAAGAAAATCATGATCATTGAACCAATAATTGGTGTTTCAGCCAACATTACAAATAGTTTTAACCAAAATCCAGTCAGATATGGAGCTGCAAATCCATAGGATCAAATTCACAGTAAATTTTTTGAAACTACCAGTAACTAAATAATAACTTGGTTAACAATACAGAGATTTATAATAACTACTCCCTATCCTCTTGTCTTAAAATGAACTTTGAATGATAGCGAAGACCTTGAATTTTTTGAGTTGTATACTTCACAGTCGTCATGTCAACTTCACTCGCTGGCAACATCACTCTCTTCTTCCCCATCTCTAACAAATAACATAGGCAAACCATTCATATCATCTATTGGTTAATTACTACTCTCTTTGTCTCAATGTATGTGTCACAGTTGAAATTTCAAAAGTAAACCAATTTTTTTTTATCAGAATTTCTTTATATATATGTCTTTTATTAAATATTTTATGTTGTTAATCGTATGATTGTTGTTTCCAAATGCATAAATATTACTTCAAAAGTTTTTGAAGTTCTATTTCCGAAATTTCAACATTACCGCATAAATTGAGACAGAGAATGAGAATTAAAAGAGATGAACAAAATACATACTCCAAAATTCGAAATCTGAAAGTTAAAGGTCTTCGCATTGAATAAAGGCCTTTTTATAAAGCGAGTGAAGACTAAGGAAGACTGCCATTAATTCTTCTTCTGAAAGCGAGGTTGTTGGGGAGTGGCGAATTTCGCACCAGTGGCGTAAGATAGCATGAAATCAGGGGGTCGCAAAGTAACGGAATGGTGTCATGTTCCCGCCGGCATGCGTATTGCCTTGTCTTTTTTCCCAATTGCCATTAATGTAAAGTCCAGTCTCCGGCCGCCGGCAGTTAGTAAGCGAAAGTTGGACTGTTGTTAACAATTTATAAAATTAAGATTGAATTTGTTAGTTTCCTTCTCATTTATGATTTCTTTAATGGTTTCTTGACGCGATTTCTTGAGTGATGTCTTCACGCGTAAAGAGGACAACTGAGAATGATATAGTTTTCTTTTTTTTTGGGGGGCTTATTTTTTTTAATTTCGATTTTAAAATAATTATAGTACTTTTTAATTTTATTCACAAACTACAAAACTGACAGTTTACGGCATCTCTAACCCTACACTCTATTTTACTCTTCAAATATTGAGTTTTCTATTTTTTTTCAGACAATCAACTCCAATCCAATTTTCTATTTTACTCTCTAAAAAAGAATTTTTTTTCTCTCTCCTCGATATTATATTATTATTTTTAATTCATTCTTATTTTCTTATTTCATAATATAAATCATTTATTTCTTTTTCTCAAATAATTACTTTATATATTTTTCATGTGATATAAAAAAAAATTCAAATTCTTTATTTAATATATAAATATATTTTATTCTAAATTTTTAAATAACATAAATTGCAAGAAAATATAATATAATATACAAATTAATGGACAAATTCAAATAAAAGTGAAATACAATTACATAAATATTACATAAACACTCAATTTTCAAAATTATTATGTTGTTCCCATAAATGCTCTAGTAATGCATTACGACGTTCAAAATGAGCATTTTTGTCCTCAATTTTCAAAATTAAAATTTTCATCTTATCATTTTAATTTTGTGTATTCTTTGTAGTGAAAATTAATAATAAAATCAAATATATTATTGACGAAAATTAGAAAAAATTAAAATACTATTAATTCGAAACTAAAGTAGCATATATTAAATAATATATTTTTAAAAATATTATATTATATTTAAGAAAAATTATAAATATTAGATATTTAATTAATGACATTATATGTAAAATAATAAAAATAATAATAAAATATTGAAAAAGTGAAATAGAGAGTGTGAATAGTAGTTCTCCAAATTTGAAGAACTACTATTCACCTCTCTAAATTTGAAGAATAGAGAATGGTTGGAGATCCCATTCTCTATTTTACTCTCCAAATATAGAGAATGGAGAGTAAAATAGAGGTGGGTTGGAAATGGTCCAAGGCTATTTTGGCAAACTAACACTAAACTAGTTAAAATTCATAATCGTCAAATAAAAAACAAAAAATATTCAATAAAACATATTAATATACTCGGTTGCAAAATACAAATAAATTATAGAATCAGTTTAAAAAACATAACCACAAACACGCTAACATTTTAAAGTATGTTTCAGTATTCGATCTTTTCAAATGAATTTATCATTATTGAGTAAATTTTGTTCAACTTTACAATTCGGTTTTTGTGTTATTGATTCTTTTTGTTTAATTGTGGTGTATTTAGGAATATAACTTTTCAACTGGATTTACTGTTAGCAATAAAAAGCGGTTGGATTTTGAAGGAGAAATCAATTAAATAAGGTGAGAAGAAAAACAAATAAAAAAAACTAGTCTGCGCTGTAACGTTTAATTTTTGTATTTCTTTTTTATTAATATTTTGGCATTACTGTTAGTTTTTTTAAAAAAAAAAATTCAGTTGTGATTTCTAATCAAATTTGTTATTATTATTTTTTTATGTTATTTGTTGTACGGAACAAGAGTGCACACATTCAAAAGTCGAAGCTAGCAAAGATGAGGGTTCTTATATGGATATGCATGTATGCTAAGAGAGACAGAGTCCAAAGAAGAAATAGGAAAGTGATTGTACATTTTCCAAAACTTGAGACATCTATATATTCACATTTCAGCTACTCTCTTTGTCCAACAATAGTTGTCCACTATTGACTTGACACACCCCTTAAGAAATTATAAATAAAGGGTAATTTTACTATATCACCCTTTGAATATAATAAAGGGAAATGACTATAATTAATGGTAAGGATAAATTAGGAACTAAGTGTAAAATTATCCATGGATTTCATAAAGTGAACAAGTATTATTGGACATCTATTTTTAGTATTGTTGGACGGAGGGAGTATAAGATAAATTCCGAAATCCAACAAACTCTTTTCTTGTAAACTAAAAACAAAAACCCAGCACTGAAGAAAATGAGAAAAAGAAATATATATATATATTTTGTCTTGGTTTCTCACTTAATATCTGAATTAGCAGTAATGGCCAATTAATGACTATTAAGTGGAAATAAATGTGCCAATCAGTGGCTATTCAAGAAGTGGAATCAATTTTTCCTACACAAACTTATTCCTGTCAATTCCTCACTTTCTTTCAGTGTAGTCAGTCATGGAAACTGTTAAAATTAGACTTCCCTTTGAAGATGTCATAGAACTCCACTGGCTTCTTCCTATACTCTGCAGAGATTTCCTGAAAGCACAAGTCAAATCTCCTGTCAATACTTGTTTGAACATTTTAGCAGTTTGTAACTTTGTTAGTTGGGAACGGGTGGTGGTAGGAGGGGAGGAGAATACCTCTATTGCAGCAGCTAAACGCAAGATTGAAGCTTCACACCACGGACGACCAATAAGTTGCAAGCCTATTGGAAGTCCTTGCTTATCATGACCAATCTAAGCATGAAAAGAAAAGAAAAGTATAACAATAATAAATTTTAAACACATGATGTTGATAGATATTTGACATCCACGAGTTTTAGAATAATTTTGAATCCTATGGTGGTAGCCATCAATCAAAGAGACATCTTAGTTTTAAAGGGAACAGAGATTGTGCAAATACAAATGGAGAAAGTTGTGAAGAGAGAGAGCGTTCAGTCATTCATTTTTACTGCTGTGTGTCAATATTAATTGGAAAGAAGGTGAGCAGGTCCTTGAAATGCTTAGAATAGGAGCATTGTTTGTATATTATCAACATGCACGTTCTTATCCTTCTATTCCATATCCTTTTATGCGATTTACTCTCAGATAACTGCCTAAGAGGAAAAAGATGAATATCACTTACAGGGACAGAAATTGCCGGAAGTCCAAGAACATTTGCTGTCATAGCAAATTGCATTAGGCTTGCTGAAAACAATAGCAAATGATGAAATAAGTAGTCTAAATAGAGTTGATCATCATGAAGTGCTCATCATAACAACAAAAAGAACTGTTGTAGAATTGATAATATTTTGAGATAGAACGCTTCGGGACTTTAATTATCAAAGTACAATCTGTCTTCAATGCATGCAAAAATCAAATTTCTGAATCTACCAACCAGTCAAACATCAAATATTTTATTCATAAGATATCTCGTGAAATAGCATTGCATTCTCATACTTAATATATCCAACGACTACTAATGACTACTACAAAGTAATAAAATGATGTCTTTTTATTTGTAAATGATAATTTAAAAAAAAAAATAGAAACAGATGTTAACCTACCTACAACTTGCAAATTTGTCTCTCCAACTGCAAGAGCACTTTCTGGAATTTCTGGGGCCGTCATTCTGGAAAAAAAAGTAAAATTAGAAATTTATGAACATATACATTTCCATTTGATGTGTAAACTTCGTGAGTGAGGTATTCAATGGAAATCCTCTGTGGATCATAACATCAGACAAATGTGACTTCAATCGTCAAGCTAAATTATGGGGTATAACTTCAAAGACATGAGAAATATCCTAATCCTTAATACTCTTATTGAGTCATTCACTGATTAACCATTATCCACGTGAAGTAAAAAGAAACATATAGTTCCTATTTTGCACCAATCATCTAAAATTTTGACTTCCATTGAAGTACAATCTTATGTCAAATATTGCAAGAGGACTTCAGAAAATTCTACTCTCTTTTACATAACTATTTCTGAAACCAACTTCCTGAAACTTCCATCAACTAAAAGATAAGGAAAATAGTTAACAGAAATTAGTTTACCCAGTGGTAGGTGTTACAATGACATCTACTTTCTTGAAAATCTCCATGTGGTAGTACATTATCCTTCGCCTGCAATAAGAGACACAGGAAAGCTGAAATAAATTGAATAGACTTCATCATATTTCTAAATGCAATTCCATAGCAAGACGGAAATCTTTTAACATTTAGATAAAACATAGTAGTACATTTGGCACTTGACATTTTTCCAAAACATAGACAAAAAAAACCATTAAATGACACTTCAGAGACGCAACGTAACTATGGAGTAAAGAAACCATGAAATTAATGACAAGAACATGGATTCTGACATGCTCTTCTATTGGAGTTTAAATTTGTTTCCGTGCACAAGCTATGAGCATATCTTTCCTCCAATTGAAAATTTAATATCAGGTAACTTTCTAAGATTTTACACATAATGAGCTTATAGTGAAGTAAGTAAACCTAAAATCGCTGATGTGGTTAAAGCTAGGAATGCCTACTAAATGTTGAACCAAATGTTAAAATGTCAATGATCCACAATACACTTGCAGCAGCTTTCACATCCCTAATTTGATACTTTAACAAACAATAGTTGAACAAATTGTTTCGACATGTATGAAAATATTCACTAACTAATTCTTTACCTAAGGCACTGGGCAGATATATAGTCAGATGCTGCAAATGATCTGAAAAGTGCCAGATTTGTGCGAGTATCATTAGTCAATCTAACTCCTTTCCTACATAAAATGAAAGAAATTCTATATTAGTCCAAACAACAACATACCAAGCAGTCGTACAAATAGCATGATGGAAAATAAATATACCCAGCCTCGCAATCAGGATTCAGTAAGCACAGTGATTCAGATCCAAAAGTAACAGTATGGGCTGTGCGCAGCTCACGAAGCTCCGGTATGACAATCTCTGTTGTCTTGATTGCAAAGAGTTAAGCAAGAAAAATAGAATAAACAAAATTAAATCCAGAAAAGTGAACCTGAACTTTAAACATGAAGTCTTCTGAAATAGACAATAATCTTGATGTAAAAAGCATGAGTCAGACAGAATCACATACGTAATAAAGAGTACTATGGACTTACTTTGCACCCATACAGACGAAATAGTTGGTTTAGGACATCTTCACACTTATCAGATATGTCGGTCGAGCTAACATCGTTAAACCACTGTAAAACATGTCTCATATCAGCCAAAGCTCAACCAAGAAGGTTAAAATCACCAACAACCTTAAGAGAACTGAAGTGCAACACCTTTGTATACTTTCCCAAGGTAAGTGATCCCAAGATATTTGAACCCTCACTGGAAGATAAATCTGGTAAACAAGGGATGGACTGCAAAATGAAAAATCAATCAGTAATAATGTGAGTAGAAAACAGCATGCTTAATGCAGAGTACAACTTTTTAATCCAATGAAAATAACTCATTTGGCATTGAACCGACTTCAACAGTCTCCGGTACAAGTATAGGATCAACTTAATCCTATGCTTAAGATTGGTCTTGTTTAGATATATCAAATCCATTTGGGGGACCTAAAACAACAAGGTTATAATGGATAGGGAAATGTCACAATTTTTTTCAGCAATTTAACTAATATAGTCTTCTATAATCTTACATGATATTAGTAGAGTGAATACTGCAGAATGTATAAAAACAGGAACAATGGGACATTCAGCGGAAGAAACATCCCCCAAACTGAACCAGGATCAGAACAGATCTCTGAAGAAAAATACCCCAAACTGAGTTATTATGGTAACCAACATACTTCAGTATCACAGATGATCAAACTCGACGTTGAAAAATGATCTGATACTCTATTTACTAATATTAGCTAAAGTATTTACACGAATGAAGGGAAAAAAAAGGTTAAAACTGAACCCTCAAGCAGAAAAATATCTTGAAATTTTGCAAAAGTACACTTTGTGAGTGATTACAGGATTCAGACGAATTCGATCAGCTGGAGAGGATCCCGAGATTGCTGCATACCTGAAAAGTTGTAGGAAATAGCCATAATCAACACATATCAACCAAAAGAGTGGTTATCACCATGATCAAGATAGCTGCCAAATTTAACAAAAAGATCCCCAAACATACAACCTATTTTTTACAAAAATATATACAACCTAATTGATCTATCTTTACAAGGTCTGCGTACTCCCCAGCCTCCCCGGACCCCATTTGTGGGACTGTACTGCGAATGTTGTTCTTGTTGCATCTTCTTCACCATTGTTTTAGCTCACATAAAGGTAAATGAAATTGATGCAAAGTGCAAACAGTGCAACACCAAAATAATTCTAGGTGCATATGTAATCAAGTCAAAGAGGTAAATTAAAAAAAATCCATGGTTTGACTGTACACAGTAAGGTGATATCAGAGATTTTCATGACCAGAATTGACTATTTGTTTGTAAGGAAATTGGCAGTTAAACCCAATTACTAACACAAGTATGGCATCCTCAACTGTAGCTGTAATGGGTCCAATAATTGTGACAGTTCCTGCTTCCCACAGTGACCTGAGAAAAGAACAGAGATGGACAAAATTATACACATATCTACCCTTGCAACATGCAATCACAATCATTGAAAATGTTTATAAAATATGCCTGATAGAGTTAAATAACCTAAATATTATCACGTACTTCTGATCAAATTTCAAATATGGGCCACTTTTTCCGATTTCCAAATTCTGCAAGTGTATGGGAATTCATTCTAATATAATTGACAATGGCCAAAATGAAACATATCACAACATAAAATGAACTTAATATTATTATTTTTTAGCATCTAGCTTCTTGGACATGACTAGATGAAACATCACTCTCCATGTTCATGCATACAAAAAAAAGTCATCTGACCAAAATTTGTAAGAAAAATTAGCTTGCTTCTGTGCGCACTCAAACAGCATTCACGGGACGTGAAGTTCATTGGCATTTTCTTGTTTTTGGATTCTGTAATGAAAGAACAGAAAACCAAAAACCTTTCTTTTTTTCACCGATACCTTAATCTTGAATTATTTATGAATCTGCAAGATGTAAGTAGTGCATGTACTTGGTGTCTCCTTTGCTGTCGTATCACGGTATGGATTATGTAAGTAGTGTGTGTGTAGAAAGCGTATAGGGCTCTTCTTTGATTACATTTCTAAGCAATGTGCAGAATAGAGTTATAAACTACTGCAGTAAAGGCATCACTTCTCTACAAAGCTACCTTATTTCTCATACCATGAAGTGCCTGGGAAATAATGCGTTTGAGTTTAACTATGGCCTAGAAAAAATATACTTGATTTCATGCCTTACACAGAGTTTTAGGTTTATAATGATTGTTTCACTTATCCACAAGCGAAATGAAAAATGCCCTTCACAGATATTGAAGAATACATGTTAACATAGAGACTTTAAGAATCCAGAAAATAGGGATAACTAAAGAAAAGAACAATTTTTAGGCTGGAGTACGAGGGAGGCAAGTTGTATGAGGCAGAAGATCATAGCTTTGACAGCAGACAGAAAGTTTTCCTGAAGGGAACAATATAATTCATAAGCAATAAGGTATAGATGCACATTGACCTGCCATTCATGAACTTACCCTGTCAGGTCAGTCCGTCCAAATGTTGTTTTCAAGCCCACAACCCCGCAAAGAGAAGCAGGAATTCGTACTGAACCTGGACTTCAAATGAATGAATCTTGAAAATCTATAACCATTTTAAAACAAATTACTAATTCACTACGCCCAATATGTCATACAACCTCCACCATCTGTTCCCAATGCTGCTGAGCACAATCCAGAAGCAACAATTGCAGCTGAACCTGAGGAAGAACCACCTGTGTACCTTTTTGGATTATGCGGATTTCCAGGTGTACTGCCATAGGAAAATGCTCATTACTGCTGTGAAAGGTAAAATATACACTCAACCTAAAGTTACCCAAGAAACAATAGTTCCCAGATACACTTCAAAAAATTATATTCCGAGAACAAGGGAAAGATATCTAAAGCGGTCTGTATGAGTGGCTTATCAAATATAACTCAAGCAAGACTCTCAGTCACCAACCAAAGGAAAAAGACTACAAAGATGTAATAACTGGACTGGACAACATTTTTTATTAGACATGTTGAAATATGTAACTTAAGTAAAGAATCATCATTCAAAAGAGATGTAGGGAAACAAAAGTATTACTATTCTGCAGTTAAATGAGTCAAAATGTGGCAATGATCACATAACAGCCAAAAAAACACCACCCGACAACCTCTCTTGATCAAGAAGAATGAACTAGGAATAAACCACTCTGGTGAACCTTATGCTATGTTGGCAAAGGTTGAGCCATAAATGACTGCTTCAGAACATCCAATACTCAGTCACAGAAAGATCAAAATTGAAACAGAAAGGAAGATAGAGAAATAAAAAGAAGTGTTCTTTTGAGGGACGTCTTTAGCATACTCCTGTTAAATGTGAAAGACTGAAATCCTTCTTCAACATTCACAAAGCCAATATTTAGCACATATCTTTAAAAAAAAAATAGTCATGTTTGCTATTTGTGTTGGAAATCATTTTTTCAACAATTTGTAGGTTCAAGGAAACAAGTTTACCCATAATTTGGATAACCTACAAGGAAACAAGTTTACCCGTAATTTGGATTATTTCCTGTTGTGCCCATACCAAACTCATGCATATTTGTCTTTCCTACTAAAATTGCACCACTGTTTCGTAATCTTGACACAGAAACCCCATCTGCCTTTACCTGGCGAACCTCATGAAACCATTTAGAACCACCTGCACTTTTTTACGGGGAAAGATGTTCAGCTAAAAATGGCAGAGATATTTACAGAGGAAATATGAAGTTAAACAAATACCCTTTGAAGGATGAGGATAGCAATCAATGTCATCCTTGACTGCAGTGAAAATCCCATCCAAGATTGACAACGGGTTTCCTCCATGACCACATCATTAAAGAAAAAAAAGATGAAAGGGAATACGGTTTAGTAACAAAATCAGCAGACTTGGCACAGTAATTTGAGATAAGCTTTATTTGCAGGAAGCGAATATCATTTATTTGATGCCGTGTGCTGTAAACTTAGAGAGAAAAAAAGACAAATTGTGAATTGCATATGTAGGTTCTTACAAGATCCAACTTTATGCACATCAACAAATAAAAATACCTTCCTCAAATCTTTGAGTGGAAGCTGCCGCTTGCCTTCTCACTTCCTCGGGGTCAAATGAGATTAATAGTGGTGCTGATTGCTGCTTACTATTAAATACCTCCATTGCTGAGATAAAGTGTTCTGCAACCTTTAGCATGACAGAGGTTTATTAGTCTTGAAGATGACCGAAATAAAACAAAGAATGAAAAGTCACTTGCCATAGATGGGGTCGTAAGCTTAGATCTGTAAGCATATCCATAATCACGAATTTTCCAATAGCGGAATTGGAATGGTTCTCCTGAATCAGAACTCCATCTGCAAGTAGGATCATAATGTGGAAGACACTTCAATGCTAAAGCAACCCGTTCTTCAGGTTTTCCATCTTCTTCTAAGCAAACAACACCAGGCTCTGGCTCTAATACATATACATACTAAACAAGTCAGTACCATTAGAAAAAGCACCTTAATTCCTGAATTCTAACTTCAACAAAATCATGGAAATATTATTCTTCTTTCCAGTTATATGTCCGAAAATCAGCTGAGTATTATTTTATCACCAACTAATAGGGGGGGAAAAGAGATAACAAGGAGTACAATAAGATGGTTAAGCAGCACCACCTCAGTGGAATGACATATTTAAAAGGAATAAGTATTTTCCTACTCCATGATGAAAAATCGATGTACACTATACATACAGTATACAACACAATAACAATTATGACTCAATCACAAGCAAGTCGGAATCAGTTATGTCGCTCTAATTTAATCTCGTCCCAATCTAATATTAGAAACTAGTTTCACTAGAAAACATTAGACCGACTTAACGCAAATGTACAAACATGATTAAAACTTAATCCCAACTAACTGGTATCACTTAAACACACAAAATATCAATAAAATAGTGAAAGATAATCAGCAAGAGCTTAATAGAGAACCTTGAAGAGGAAATTGGGGAATGAACATGGGAACCTCTGGTATCACAGTATTCTTCAGAATCTGACAATAAAAACACAACCGTTCTTTAATTTCTTGATCTCCTTTTTATGCATCAAGATACAAAAAATTGCAAGTAAACAAACCTCAGTAATCCCATTCTTCTCCTTCAGATGACTAGCAATTAAAGAACCAATTACAGGTGCCTCCATTACTTTAACAAACAACTTGAACCAAAGCCCCGTCAAATGTGGAGCTGCAAATCAATTAAAATAAAAACTCAGGGCGAAAAAAAATGATACTGCCAATGTCATCATAGCGAAAAAGATGAAACACAAAACCTTCAATTTTTTCGGGCACATATTTGACTGCAGTAAGGTCTACTTCATTCGCCGGCAACATTATTTGCTTTTTCCCCATTTTTCAGTCACAATTTTTGAACTGGACAAAAACACAACAGATACAATCAAAAGAATAAAATTGACAAGATAGATAGATAGATAAATCATGTTACACATACTTGACAGAGTCTTGAAAGTCTCAAACTCTGAGGCAAATAGCAATGAAGATGCATTGAGTAGTCAACATCAATTTCTTTAATTTCCATTGTGACAGCGACATTGAGTTGAAATTCAGTTCTCCATAGTCTGGACCTTGAAAAGGTCTCAACGGACAATAATCTCACAAGAGTACATTGTGTTGGGCTGAGCCTTAGGCGTATCTGGACTTTGGTACGATTTTGGGCTTCGAATACTCAATTCGTAAGCCCCAAGAAATCGCAATATGACTCACCGCCGCCTTATCATAGTGTTAGAAGTAGCGTTACTAATCCGCAGTTACCTAATTTTAGAAATAGCGTTAGTAATCAGCAGTTACTTCATTTTCAACGGTTTATTTTTGCGCGTTAATTAAAAGTAGCGTTAGTAATCCGCAGTTACCTAATTTCCAACGGTTGATTTTTGCTTTACATAGTGTTAGAAGTAGCGTTACTAATCCGCAGTTACCTAATTTTAGAAATAGCGTTAGTAATCAGCAGTTACTTCATTTTCAACGGTTTATTTTTGCGCGTTAATTAAAAGTAGCGTTAGTAATCCGCAGTTACCTAATTTCCAACGGTTGATTTTTGCTTTATATTTTTTATTATTGTCATATTTTCGTGTAGATTTTGCTTGGCATAACTTTTGTTTTTAGGAGAAGGGTTATTGGCAACAATTTTTTTATCCGGTAAAGATAAAAATAAAATTTGTATGTATTTTATTTTCCTTGCTTCTTAATAATAAATATATTTTAAATATATTATTGAATTTCAAGTATTAGGACTCATTTTGTCTCAAACTAATTATGATAAAGTACTTTTTTAGATATTTTAAATTTATGTTTTAGAAAAAATGATTCACGTGTTCACAAAAACTCATTATATAAATAAATTAACCACTTAATATATGTGTTCTTATTTTAATCATACACAACAAGATTAACAAAAATATTTTATTATTTATTCAGATGATTAATTAAAATATATTATAACTTGAAAGTATAGTGATTCCGACAGTAAAGTAGTAAGTCTAATTATAATTCGAATTGTGACAACTTATCCATGTATACTAATCGGATCATCATGGAAGACGCAAACATTAGCTTATTTCTGTCTAACAGCTTGTTTGGCATTGTTGTTGGGAGATCAGAAGTGTTTTTTTGAGAAAAAAACATTTTTTTTTTGAAAAATTAAAAGTATTTTTGGCATTACTGCTAAAAACAACTTATTTTAAGAAGCACTTTTTTAAAATGGCTTTTTAGAAAAGTGATTTTGAAAAAAAAAATTGTGTTTGGCTAATTCATTTGAAAAATGTTTTTCATAAGCAAATTGTGTTTGGCTAATGTTTTTCAAAAAGTGTTTTTAAGAGTCAAATTACAAAAAAGGACAACTATTAATGTACTTCTAATATTAAAATTATTTTATTGAGAGAAACTATTTTAAATATCTAAATTAATTAACTTTTTAATTTTTTTCAAATTAAAATTTACATCATTAAATTTTCAATCAATATTATACCTTTTTTGGGTGGCTGAAATATCTAATTGTTATTTTTTTTCTTCTTTTCTAATCTTGAAAAAATATTAATGTTACCTTTAATCTAATTCTACAAAATAATACGTAAAATAATATATAATATATAAAATAATAATATATAAACGCAAAATAAATTATAATATTTATTATATAAAATAAAAAATAAAATTCTTAAATGAAATTTAACCAAACTTATGAAATATACTAATTTATTACTAAGAAATATATTGGTAATATGTAATTATGTATATATGAAAAATGATATTTTAGTCTTGAGAAAAATATTTTTTTGTTTCTGTTTCTGTTTCTGCTTTTTTTAAAAAGAAGAAATTTTTAGCTTCTTCCCAACCGCAAACTAGTTGCTTCTGCTTCCATTTAAAAGCACTTTAACCGATTTGTCAAACAATTATTTTTTCAATAATTTTTTTTGTTTTCTCAAAATAAGTGTTTTGGCATCCCAACATCAATGTCAAACAGGCTCTATGTGTTTGACAAATCCTTAAAACCGCTTTTAAATTAAAGTGGAAGCAGTTTTTTTGCTATTGAGTAGAATCGTAGAAGCTAAAAAAAATTAGTTTTTAACAAAAAGCAGAAGCAGAAACAGAAAATTATTATTTTGAAGACTAAAATATCTCTTACATATATACATATTTATCAATATATCCCTTATTAATTAATTAACATATCTCATAAGTTTGGTTAATTTTCATTCAAGAATTTTATTTTTTATTTCTATATAATAAAAATTAATTTTGTTTATGTTTTTATATTATTATATATATTTTATATTGTAGATATAATTTTACGTATTATTTTACATAATTAAAAATAAAAGTAACAACAATATTTTTGCAAGATTAAAAACAAGAGAGAGAAAAAGTAACAATTAAAGATTTAGACCATCCCAAAGAAGTAATAAACAACAAATTTTTTTATTTTCTTAATTTATGTATTATTTTATTTTAATTTGAAAATTTTAAAACTTTAGAGTATTATAACAAAAAACAAAAGGATAATAGCTAAGATTGAATTCAAGAGAATAGGTAACAAATAACAAAAAGAATCTTCTTTTCAATATTTTTCAACAATTTTTATCTATGCATAATATTGAATGAAAATTTGAATATGTACATTTAATTAATTAAATAAAAAATGTAATTAAAGTTTTGTATTGGATGTTTAAAATGGTTTCTCTCTATAAAGTTATCATAATATTAAAAGCACATTGATCCTTGCCCTTTTTTGTAATTTGACTCTCAAAAGCGTTTTTAAAAAAAATTTAGCCAAACACAAATTGCTTATCAAAAACACTTTTCAAATGAATTTGTCAAACACAAATTATTATTTTTTTAAGAAAAAAAACATTTTTCTAAAAAGCTGTTTTTAAAAAAACACTTTTAAAATAAGTAATTTTTAGCACTAATACCAAACAGACTCTAAAGTTTTGGCTAATGCATAGAAAATGACAAGTTTTATATATATACGAGACAAAAAATATATAAAAGAGAAGTTATTTTTTTATAAAAAAAATTAAGGCCAAACATATACACAACCCCTATAACTTACCTTCATTTTTTTCATTTTGGCATTTCAACATAGGGTTGTTCCATTTTAACCCTTAAACTCAATTTTTTATGTACGATTTAAACACAAATACTAATTTTTATGATTTCTTTATTTTTATTTATTTTCTTCAATTGCAGTTCTTATTTTAAAAAAATTAAGGGTGGCTATTAATTTTCATTTAAAAAAATTAAAAAATTAGCGAACGAACACAATTTTTTGAAATAATAATATTATTTTTTGTGATTTTCTCTGTATTTTTGCATGAATATAAATAGACGAAACTTCTTTAATTTTCTTTCTTAAACATTCAATTAAATTAAATAACACTACATATTTGTTTATTTTTCTTATCATTTAGGCTATCTGAATTTAACACAAATACTCGCTTTTAATTTTTAATATGACTCGATATGAATTAAAAAATGCAATTTTAATACGAGTAAAAAAAGAAACTCTTGTTCATTGCTAATAACACTACTAATAAATGTTACAACTCGACTGACTTTTCGGGATATTGATGATTTTTTAAGAAAGAAAACCAACACAATTTCGTCAGTTATTTTTCACACAAAAATTATAGAAAAAATCTTTAAAATAAATTATTATTTTTTAAAAAAGAATTAATGTTTGTTCGTTAATTTTTAATTTATTTTTTTTACTAAAATCAACTAACACATGTCATTTTTTGAAAAATAAGAAACTACAATTGAATAACATATATAAAAATAAATAAAATCATAAATATAGTATTTCGTATTAAAATGATACATAACGCAGTGTCAAAATAAACAATGAGGACAAATTAGAGGGGTTGTGTATGTGTTTGGCCTTTTAATAAATAAGGGGGAACCCATCGGTGGCCCCCTTAAGTTGGCACCAATTTTCACTTAGACACCTCAACTCAGCTTTGTTTATTTTAGACACCTTATGTCATATCCCACTATGTCATTTTGACATTTTTTGCTGATATGTCATAGAGAATGTAATATACTCATTACCAGCGCATGAAAGGCTTATTTAATCTTCTTCTTTTTTCATCTTCTTCCTCATTTTTCAGCCATCATCTCCCAAAACTTAAACTCCTTTTATGGAGAAATAAATTTGATAATGGTACAGACAAAAAAAAAAAGAATTTGAACCCATGGACTTATAATATAATGATATAATAAGAATTAAAAGAAGACAATGTGAAGACCCCTGCAATCGTAAAGAAGAAGAAAGATGGAAAATCATGAATTCATGAATAATCTCAAATTAGATTTGAAGAGTGGTATATGTGGGTTTGTTATTCTATTCGAGGAGATGACGTGGGTGGGGAAGGGGTTGGGCTTAGGGTGGGTAGAGGTGAAGAAGACGCTGGGTGGGTGGGGGAAGAGTGGAGAAAAACGCAGGGGTCGGGGTGGGTGGGGTTTGTTTTTTATGTTTAAAATCTTTGGGCAAAAATTCCACGTGTCATTCACTCATTGGTCACTTCTTTTTTGTACTAAAAATCATTATTTGAGAATTATTTTTTATATATATGCCACGTGTCTTTATTTAATTCGTCATTTTGACACGTCATCGACAAGTGTATTATAAACACTTTATATATTTGACTGATAATTAAAAAAATGTCCGAATGGACCATGACATGAGGTGTCTAAAATGAACAAAGCTTAGTTAAAGTGTCTAAGTGAAAATTGGTGCCAACTTTAAGAGGCTACCGATGGGTTCAGCCCATGAAGGCTGATAATGACGAGAGAGGGGATCGATCATATGTGTTAATGAGGGGAATTATAATTGTTGTACTTGGAAATGTATATTATCGTTGAAAATAGTCTACATTCATAACTATATAATTAATTTTTATGTCTCAATGTATATAATATTATATTTAATAATAATTTATTATAAAACTTAATTTTTAATATTTTATACAATGAAAAATCATCATTATTCATCGCATAAATTAAAACAAAAGTACTAGTAATAAACTTCGATGTATCATCAACTTGGCCGCTATTTTAATTGCTCTTTTTCCTTTGTTTGCAATTCTTATTTGTTTTTCCAATACGAGTTGCCAGCAAGAAAACCCATGTGTACGTATTGGTTTATTACAACTACTAGCTACAGTGTTAGAATCCGTTTGGATTGACTTTAAAAAAGTAATTTTTAAGTCAAAAATAAAAAGTCAAATTAA